GCATATCTGTATATGCAAGTCAGTGTTGCTGAGATAAAGTTATGAAATTTGGGGGTTTCCATTTAAGAAATACATATTTTTGAAAGTTTTCTTAATTTAGTATTTAATCTTACTTTTTGAACTCCGTGTATTATTAGTTATCAAAACACTACTATAAAAATTCTATTAAAGTAGGTTCTTGTCCACGAGGTGTTAAACCTAAATTAAAAATAAAGATCTCCTTTTAGGAAAAATTAGTATTTTTCTTAGGGCCTGCAAATGACATATTTGAGATAAAAACTTAAATATGTTAAAAACCATTGTACATAGGTATAGAACATTATATGTAATTTTTGTAGAAACTTGAGTAGATTCCAAAAATGTAATAATATATAGGATGTTCTATTTAAAAAAAAGAGGTTATGCTTACCCAGGCAACACTGAGTGCCCTGTATATGCAAAAATATAATAAAATAGAACTTCGTTTCAAACCAGATAAACTTTGTATTTAGGATTTTTTCGTACACCCTGTATATTCTGAGATAAGGTATGGGGTTACTTTACATTGGCTACCCTGTACATTGGGTATCTGTTAGAGACCAACAAAACCGCTCAACAAGATAGTAGATTTCAAAAACTACACGGAATGCTAATTGTGCTCTATCCGCTATTGCGGAAGAACCGACTAACTAAAGATATATTAGATAATTATTTTAATACCGCTGTGTTTTACACTGGTTGGGTGTCCATCTTTATTGGCCACTTTGAAAATACAATAAAGCAGCCACATACAACAAGTTGATCGAACCCCGTAGACAAGTAACATTCCAAGCTAGCTCTGAGATATCTCTCTGCGAGACGGACACGGTATGCAAAATGTCGCCTGAATACAACTTCAGCTTCATTAAATCGATTTTTCTTGTCGGGCTATGATTAATTGTTAATACAGTTGCTTTTGTTGTTTTCGGTTTTGCATTCGTTAGAATTAATAAGCGATTAGCCATTATAATATCAGATATTACTATTGAGTGCACATTGTAAACAGCTTGCCTAAAGATTGTATCTCGGTTAGTATCTGAGATACAGAGTGAATTGCAATAAAAAGCTGAGAAATGTCGTTGAATACTTCAAATAATACTGATAGTTATTATTATTATTATTACTATTATTACTTCTTTTCTGATGGTGCCTTATACTGTTAGTACTGATTACGAGTTATAGGTTTATAATTTATGTCTTACAATAACTAATGGGTAATTAGAGGAATGGGTTTGAAAATAAATGATCACTATTTGATTTGATGTTGTTCAATGAAGATGACCCCATAATAAGCGCAAGAACATGAACATGCAAACAAAATGTATTCAAATTGAAGAAGATGGCGCAAATGAAGACAAAAATGAGAAAAATAAAAAAGTACGAAATGGCGTGCATTTATTAATCATTATGAAGTCGTTACTTTGTTCCAAACAAATTACATTCAAAACTTAGAAGACAAGCCAGAGCAGTTGTAGAGCCTATATAGAAATGGGGCATCCAAGTAGAACATGTGGCATACCAAATAACGAAATCAGACAAGGAACAGATAGAAGTCATAAAAGTTCAGAGAGAATAATAACTAGACAGTTGATATGGCATGACCATCGATAAACGGCGTTATGCAAGCGATACAGGACTAGACCGAAGAAGAAGAAAGAAGAAAGAAATTTGGCGAACGAAGTATCTACAAGCACTGAAAGCAAACTAACAACGAAGTTTACAACAATTTATTGATCTCTCCGCCAAGTCAAAATGCGGTGTAAATAGATACGAAATGCGGTAATAAATCATCATAATATTAAAATAATGATTACGGGATTCTCAGATAATGTATTAAATTTAAACTGCCTGGTTTCGTGGTTTATCCGTTTGCAACGCAATTTTGCTTGTGTCCGCCACGGTGACAATGAGTTTGATTGTCTAAAGTTAGAGACATCGACGGTCGATTAGAAAACGAACTCTCACGACGTTCTGCGATATGATCTGAATGGTGCGAAATGGGGTGCATTTTTTGATGATCATAATACATAAATCATGCAACGGTATAAATTTCAAAGCCTTCTTATGTTTTCATAAGTATATAAATATATAAAGTATAAGTATATAAAGAAGTTTAAGTTATCCCGAAATAAGCTTTTGTAAATTTTAATGCATTTTATCAATGAACGAAAAATATTCATTTCGCAAAGGATACTATATTTGTCGCAATGACAACTGTTACTGTTGTTCATCTCTTCCGTAAATAGTTGGCAATGAAATCTTGACCAGTTCAGGAATTACTAAAATTTTTTGGAAGTCAAGTTTTACTTTTTTAATTCCTGCTAAACGTGATAGTTGATTTTTTATTCTATATTTCAATATGAAGTTTGATTTGAGCATCACGACGAATAGCGAATACTGACAGACAATACTTTTTATAAAATTATTGTTTTGAAAATTATGTTAAAAGGTAATGGTGTAAAATAATAAATTTCCCCATATACTTCTCTCAAAAAATCTAGTAAAAAAATTAAATTTAATCTTATTTAGCCAACCTTGTAGTACTTTTCGTACGGTACTTGGAGTACTAATGTATTTAGTTTTTTTTATGGTAAAGCCTGCAGCCTTATATAACTTGCATCACCTTGTCACCATTTTGTCATAGTTCTAGCGGTTCCAACCAAAAATATTTAATTTCTAGTTGGTCGCGCCCAGTTTTAGAGAGCGACTTGATATAAATTCACGGATATTTTAGTAAAAATCAGCCTTGTTTCTCCTAATTCAGTATGCACATAAATAGGTAAGCGGCGTAGAAACAAGCGGAACGGTGTTAGGGCGTTTCTTCGAATCTGAAACCGGCGCGCGACTATAAAAGGAGAATTTTCAAAAATATTAACAGTTAGTAGTTATTGGAAATAGTTCTGCATCAGGAAAAGTCATGTGCGATGACCATGAATAATAATCAGATCATCTAACGGATGTTGTTGAATGATGTTTGTACCGAGAAGTAAGCAAAATATATAGTAAATAAGTTGATAATATATTTCTAGAAAAAACCGTCTACTCATACAGAACAATAATGTAATAAAATTAATCATATCCTCAGCAGTAAATAAAATCCCTTAAGGGCCAGCATTTTTTTTTATTTCTTTTTATACACTTCAGTTTATTTTGTAAGTTAGATTATATCTAAGAATCCCGCGCAAATCTAATAGATTTATTTGGATTACTTTACTTTTGCTAGAATTGCGGACTTGTATATAATAAATAATAATATTAATTATTATTAGTTCAACCTTATGGGTTGATACGTTGTACCTTTAAGTGCTACAACTACTTCTCTAAGAGTTCTTGAAATCTTGAAATAATTCAGTTTAAAATTGTAAAGCTGTTGAAATTGGTATTTAAAAAAACGAATTTGCATTGCATTAACGTTTTGGAAGTTACTGTGATTTAAATAATTACATATTTTGGTGCTGGTTCCATTCCTTTTAAGATGGTTGCGGCAATCAGCTTCAAGTAAAGCTTTTTTCAAAAATTTTCAAGCATTCTGATAAGGTTATAAAAATTATATTTTAATTTGATAATTTGCGTGTGTGGGGAAAGTGTCATTTTAGCAGGCCACATATATATATATATATATATATATATATATATATATATATATATATATATATATATATATATATATATATATATATATATATATATATATATAGTTATATATATATATATATATATATATATATATATATATATATATATATATATATATATAGTTATATATATATATATATATATATATATATATATATATATATATATATATATATATATATATATATATATATATATATATATATATATATATATATATATATATATATATATATATATATGTATATATATATTCAAAAAGGAACACATTTTAATAAATTTAAAAGGGCTTTTCCTAGACTATCATTTTTGTTATGCATCTCACAATTCCGATTGCTTACCAAGCGACGCTTTCTGGTAAAATCGCAAAAATCAATTAAAAATAAATAAGTCATATATAAATAAATTAATAGTAAAATATGAATTTGTTTACGTCATTTATATATATATATATATATATATATATATATATATATATATATATATATATATATATATATATATATATATATATATATATATATATATATATATATATATATATATATATATATATATATATATATATATATATATATATATATATATATATATATATATATATATATATATATATATATATATATATATATATATATATATATATATATATATATATATATATATAAATGACGTGAAGAAATTCATATTTTACTATTAAATTATTTATATATGACTTATTTATTTTTAATTGATTTTTGCGATTTTACCAGAAAGCGTCGCTTGGTAAGCAATCGGAATTGTGAGATGCATAACAAAAATGATAGTCTAGGAAAAGCCCTTTTAAATTTATTAAAATGTGTTCCTTTTTGAAGAGATGGACATTTATTTAAGGAAATGTTGGAACAACCGCCATCACTTTGCTTGCAGAGATGGCACAAAGAGCATTAAATAAAAATAATTTGCCTTAAAATAGTATTCACTTTAACTATGGTTAACATAACAATGATGCCAGTGGTGGCCATTTAATAAACTCAAACATATCTTCCAGCTTTTTTTTGGCCGGTTTATTTAAAATAAAAATCAAATTTCAAAAACCTAGTCCGTTTTCCCCACACGATACCTTTTTACTATTACTGGGTCACACGGTACATGCTAACTTTCAATAAAATATGATCCGTACGGCAAGATTTATAAAATGTTATTCCAGAAACGGACCGTGCAATATTTTCGAGTGGATACAATTTTTCGACACTCCTTGTATTATTATATTTTGTATACTTATTTTAATAATTTTTAAATTTCACTAACTAAAAGCAAATAAATTTTGCAAAACTAACATTACATTTCTCAGAATAATGACTCACCTGCGCATATTCCGCACATATGTCTATCCCCTGAACAAAATTGCACACATCATCCACCGACCAATTGGCTATATCCTCGTGAAGTTTGGGACTCTCGCTTTCAGCTCTCTTAGTCGCACTCGAATTTGCACTCGTGTGACTTGGGCTGCCTACGGAAGGGGTCTTTACGCGAGGTCTTTTCGTTGGTGGGGCAGCGGCTGACAAATCCAACGGTGAGGAAGTATCCTGTCGCTTCACGTTCTTTAACAGACCCTACAATGGATCAGCTCAGGCTGCATCACTTAAGGACCTCTGGGCGATTCCTACCTGGAGCTCTGCTTCCTTGGCAGTTCTAACCATAGCTAGCAACGTCTGCGTCGTCGACATGTCTATAAGTGGGGGAAACATTGCTGCCGCAGCCGCTCCAGCGAACGGACTTAAAACTGAAGCAAAATCGGGTGACACGCCAGAGGATTTCTTAGCGATGTCACTCGCTGATATCTCCTTCGTAGATGGGGAGGTGGCCAAACCGGAGAGGAGGTTCGGAGGGAAAGCAACGGGAGTAGTGGCAGGTTTAAACCGAGGATCCAAAGGGGGAGGGAATCCGTTTCGAGCAGCATTGAAGTAACTGAAAAGCATTATTTGGTTTTATATTGGGATTAATCATACAAGAAGTATTATACTCACTCATTTGGATTAGCGTGGTTGTATTTGGCGGCCAGGCTTCTCATGAAATCACTGTAGTTGCGTCCAGAGATAGGAGGTAATAAAGGGGTCTCGGCTGCTGGCGGAGTATCCGGATGAGATGCGGAACTTGGTGTTACGCTGCGAGATCTGCTCGATGTATCAGGAGTGCCCGGGCTTAACCTTAAATCGGTAACGTAGCGATCAGGTTCAGCAGTATTTTCGAATCAAACGCTCGAGATTATTTATTCACCTTGTGGATTTAATTATCCAAATTTTGAGTAAGGCAAACAACAACAAAAAATTAAAGAATCAGTGTTGTTCCTTGGGCTATTAGTCGTTATGATTGTTGCTTATTGCTTGCTTATGTGAGGTATACTGAACGTACAACAGACATTGAAGGGACGTTTACTAAATTAATATAATCGCTACCAATATTTTCATCTAAGTAAAGTAATTTTTTTATAAAATTTCTCTTATTCTTTAATTTTACTGGTATTAAATTCCCATAGGTTATCCATAAGGAAATAACACCGATCATTTGACTTTTTAATAAAATAAATAATTTATTAATAATTCAAAAAAGAGGTGATCACAGCCAAAATGGTCCTTGTAGTTGAAGATTTTATTTTTAAGAAGTTTAACAAAAATTAATTAAAACCGTAAAATAGGTTTTTAAAATATTTAAAATTGCCAGCTTTCGCACAGCATTGCAAAATTAAACAAGAAGGAGAACTATAGTAAGTCAAAAAGTTGAAGAATATTATCTTCAGCTTCCTGAAATTACTAAATTTTGTCCCTAGCGAATACGTAGAAAGATTTTTATTTGAAAAGGACGGGAATGTCGTTATCTGCGATCGCTCCGACATGTCGGATAACTTAAAAGTACGTTTTGGCTTCAGTCAAGTCAAAAAAGTCTCCGTACACATAGTACTTTTTCAGTTTTGTTTTAGTTTCTTCTTTCACTTACATTTAATGAGAAATATATTTCAAGTAAATATCGGAAATCTCATTGAGATTAATAAAAATAAAATAAAAATCATTTCAAATACTTTATTTAAGCAATAAAAAATAAGGCAGTTTTAGAAGCAAGAAACTATGTCAAATAAGTTTCCGTACACTATTATTTCTTTTGACAAATTGAAAAGTTTCTTAAAGCAATTATTAAGTATTTTTGGAAATTGTAACTTCTGCCGATATATTTTCCCTCTCTTCTCTTATCCTATTTTTGAGGTCCTTTTTACTCATAACTTGTTATTTTTTCACTAGTCGATTTAATTCTTCCCTGTTCTATGGGGTTAACATCCGGAGATTATGGTGGTGTATGAAGTTGCTGGCGGACATTATGGATCATTCAGTGACGTACAAGCGTAGCAGTGTGTTTAGGATCGTTGTCCTGTTGAAATAAATAACGCCCCTCAAGGTTAAGTTTTTCAACACTTTGGTTTAAATTATTCTTTAGGATGTTCAAATAGTTAAATTAAAAGCTAATTTAAAGCTAAATTGCCTCCCATTAGCTGATCTGCATCCCCACAATAAAATATTACCTCCACCATTGATGTTTTCCTTCTGGCAACGCGGCCGCTATAACCTACTCGATGCAAGCAGTTTCTAATCGTTTGAGGGTTAAAATTTTTGAGAACTCTTCCCTGATTTCCTCGGCAAGTTTTGGAGCGCTTGTTTGAGAATAATTTCTAACTTTTTTCATAACAGAAGACTCTTCTCGTGCAGTTAACTTCCTGGGACGATCGAGATCCGGTGGATTTGTACTCATCTATTACATACTGTACAGTTGAATGTGATTTTTTAAATTATTTTACCAACATCTCTAAAGGCTTTTTTTCTCTTTTCATACATCTACTATGATTTTTCGAAGCGCAATTGGAATTTCGTAATTTTTAGCGCTCATTTTGCCTTTACTTCGAAACCACTGTGTTAAAAGTGGCGTCAAATTTGTTTAAGCGAAATTTGATACAAGCTGACTTGATAAAATATTGATAATGAACGGTTCTACCTGCAGTTGTGAATAGTGATTTATTAAAGTGTGTGGAAACTTATTTGACATAGTTTCTTGCTTCTAAAATTGCCTTATTTTTTAACGTTGAAATAAAGTGATAAAATGATTTTTATTTCATTTTTATTGCTCTTAATGAGATTGCCGATATCTACTTGAAACATATTTCTCATTAAATGTACTGAAAAAATATTATGTAAACGGAGACTTTTTAACCGACTGTGCGTCATGTTGAAAAAATATCGAAAAACCGTATTTGAAAAAGAAGTTTATAATGAAATTTTTGGGCTCAATTAGAAATTTGGATTGATCGCACATAAAGAAACCATATGTGGCGAATATTATACTGCATATATATTAAATTATATATATTAAAGCAGAAAAAACAATCAGAAACAAAATTTAAAATGCTCTTTGGAGCGGCGAAGGCGGTTTCGATATTAGTTTATTGTAGACTGAGAGAGAGTGACAAGAAAAAAATCACCCGCTATATCTGGAAAACTGAAATAGGATGAAAATATTTTGTTAATATTTATACTCACAGAAATAAAAAAAAAACAAAAAATTAAAAAAAATATTTGACCCAATTATTATCCTTGCTGAAATTAATTACAGCAAAGCATGAACCCACCTTAACACTCATAAAATGTGTAGAATGTTAAAAAATGTTAAGTTGGCAAATCAGTTTTTAATTCTCTTTAAACTACGTTTAAAAGTAACTATTCTTGTATTTATCGTCTAGTAATTGATATCATAAAATATTCAGTTTTAAATTGCATTCCTGTGTTATAATAGTAATAAAATATTTCGCAAGCTGAGGACATTAAATTAACAACTGCCTTCATATTAGATCACCAAAAATTTAAAATAAATTCAAACTTTTTCTCTTAGTCAATGCGTTCGTAAAATTTTCTAATTACTATGCCTTACCTTTCGTTTTTAACATTATTATTATTATTGTGCAACGCGTAATCGCCCGACGAAGCTACCGACGTGGATATAAGCCCGTTGTTGTTAGCCGATCTGTCCATGCGTTTCCTCCTCAATGACTTCGAACTTTGTATTTGATTTTCCAGCGCTTCCGACGATGCTGAAGTTTCGCCTGCAAGACAGAGACGAGACGATAAGGCGCTCGTATCGCGATGCGATTTAAAACAAATAATAACGCTAATGCGTTCTTGGCTGTCACATTTTCTCCGTCTACGGTCGCGTCTCCCCTTTTTCGGGCGTATAGTAGGCGGCGGCGAATCGACCACAACAGACACCTGTGCCATCCAATGATAAATGGTGATTGGCTACCGATGCTTTTATCATTTCATTGTGTTTACCGTACACACAGTCTTTCCTTTGTCTTTCGTTCTACGGGAGGACGGTACGATATTTTTGCCCGGCAGTTTGCTTTTAAGGCGGCACCATTGTTTATAACCGCGCGCTGCGGCCCTTGAAGGTTAAATGTTAATTATTCGGGTTACAGATCAACGGAACTTAAATGAAGCCTGATGAGACACAGAAAAGATACTTGGGCCAGGATTCTGCCGTATGAGAACCAACTTGAGTTCGCAATGGGCTGCTGCCTATTTTACCTAGTAAAATCGTATATCGATTTGTATTTTCGTGATCATAATTCATTTATTTACTTTCCAAATAATTGTAGACGCTTCGAAAGGCGTTGGTCATGGATTTTTAAAACCAAAGAAATTTTGCGTAAGCATAAATATCATTATCCTATTTCGTGCATTTCTTTCTCGGAATAATATATTTTATTTTTATTAAATAGGAATTATTTAATTAATTAATTAAAACAACAAATACTTCTGGGTTCCAAGTACTAAAATAAATAAAAAAAAGTATAGTTTAGGCCAATTAAACTTTTACAGCATTGTTGTTCCTTGTGCTAAATGCAACATGCAAACAAGTTGCTGTATCTGACTACATTAAACTTGATATGTCTGCAATAGTTTTTTGAGTTTTTGTTATTACTGTGTCTCGATAAGGCGTTGTGATGTGCCAAAAAAATTAGAGTATTCGAAATGTTGAGGCTCGTCTGAGTCCGCCCCTCGAAAAACCCAACCTTTGTGTAAGTATAAATTATAGTCGTCAAATTTTATAACGTAAATTTAAAAATAAATGGCTAAAACAATTCGTATAATTTAATAATGTTTGAAGAGAACGTACAGGTACAGGTAGAAGCCTGGCAAAGTCAATCAAATTAATGCTAAGTCATACTCAACCAAATATTGAAATCGTAGCCATATTTTTAGCACACAAACGAATCTGCTCTGCTTTCAATTTTTATTTAAATTCCCGAAACTGAAAAGCTCTTAATTCATCTGAAAAGGAATTGAGCAAGTTAACAGAACAACGACACAACCACTCACCACGTCGGAATCACAATCAGCGACACTTAAAATTTTATTGACAAAATTTCACAGTTGGTGTTTCCATATATTGTCCAGTTTAAGCCAAGTTTAAGAAAATCTTGAACCTGAGCACCAGCAAGATTCATATCATAACAGTGTACGAGGTGTGTGTAAAAAGTAAGGCGACTTCTGTAATTAAGCAGGCTACGTACATTCGATCTTCGACATTTTTTTTGTTGTATTGGTGCACATGCCCCTAACATATGTTCACAGCTTCAACCAATGTGCAACACGCTTACTTTTTTCTGTCAGACAGAAGCGTTAGACGTGTTTTGTGTGCTCGGCGATTTTCTGCTGTCAAAAAAAATCTAATAGAGAAATTGCATAAAGTTTTGTGTAAAAAATGGAATACAATACTGCAAAACACTTGAAATGTTGACAACGCCATTTGATGACACTACTTTGAGCAAAAAAATGTAAATTTTTTTTTTATAATAAATACTTTTTGATAAAATTTAAAAGTCGCCTTACTTTTTAAATACACCTCGTATGTTCCTGACAAATCGGCAAACCGGAAAGCGAAAAAAAAATGATTAGACGTGCTGGAGAATAGACTGGACCGAAAAGCAAGTGATTCAACACTAGTGGGCACCAGACCACATTACAAATACGACTGTGAGCTTTAGGATAAAGAAGACATCGGACAAAAAGAGACCCAAGCCCTCATATAAAGGGAAGAATATTTTTAAATGTTACAAAATACACAAATTTTAAAACATTACAGAGAAACTCAGAAACGATACCTCGGAACATGTTTCAATTTATTTTGATGAGTTCTATTCTCATCTGTGGGTACAGGATAACGCAGCAGTGATGCAATGGGGTTCGCTAAGTTTGCTGCAAATGGGGTTTTACATTGTAGACGCCCAATTTTAATTTACTAGTGCTTTCGTGGCACGAGAGTAATAATGTTTCCCCACGTGGTTCAAATGTACCGAAAACTTATTAAAGTGCCGAAAACCTCTCCCCTACGCACCGCTGGTTAAACTCATGACTACAGTGTTGTTTGTGGCATTATATTATATTCCTTATTAGAAATTTGAATTATTCCCCAATCTGTTTATTTGACACTATAGACACAACCAAATTTAAATAAAATTTCACTTCGAAAACCAAAGAATCTGGCGAAACGCAAAACCTGCTTGGATATCATGAAACCCGAATAGTTCCATTTTGATCTCACGGCTTTTATAATCCCCTCAGGTTACGGATCCGGGTGATTTATTTTAGTAGGTAACTTATGAAACGGCCGTTTACGTCGATTCAGTGCGTTCTCCTCGGCGGACACCGACTTCTTCATGTTACCATATTATTAGGAAATCTAAGTTGCCGCGAGCATTAACAGTTATGCAGTTTTTTTCCCGGATTTTATCTCGGCATGTAAGTTAGCCCGATCAATAATAAACGTGGGCGATTTTGTGATTATATACGGGGTTATTCACTCTACACGGCACCTATTATTACCGCGACTATACAAGGATTTCAAAAAGTTTGATGCATAGGGTCTTTCGCGCAAAATGTTAACTAAAAATCTTAGTTGGATATTAGTTTTGGGTAGTGATATATGTACGTTTTTCGTATTTAACATCTTAAAGTGTTTTCAGTTAGCTTACCGGTAGATGACATCACATAGTACATTTTAAGCAATCACCACACATTTACGTATTGTTTATTTCTCTCCTCGTCTTCGAATTATTGTGGCTCTAACTCATATTTAATGTTTGGGACAGTGTTCATATAATTTGAATTATAATTTGAAATTTGCTTCAGCAATTTTTGAGAAGAATAAAATTTACACTAAATAATATTAATTACACACTAAACTTCAATCCATTTAGTGTGTAATTAATATAATTTATATTCTATTCTTCTCAAAACTTTCTGAAGCAAATATGATAGATGGACGATTAAATTTATATTCTGCTTGATACCGCTTAAAAAAAACTGTGAAAGTTGTGAATGTTGCGCAGTGTTTCTGGTTCACACGGTGTATGTCCTAAGCCTAAACAATGCGAACTTGAGAGTATTATTTGGCAGAGTCCAATATTTGAACTTTAAATCTTTTCCAAGATCAAATAATTCCAAAGCCAAAAAGGATGAACGTAGTGTTATAAGTTAACTTAACAGTAAACTGTACGAAGCAAAAATGAAATTAGAGTATTAAAAACAATATAAAAATATTAAATATTCGTTTTTTTTGTTAAGTTAAATTTTGGTAAATATTAAAGAATGTTACATATTAGAACATAGTAGTTCAATAATATTTATTATTTATGCTAAACTATCTGCTTAAGCCCAAATCAGCCCAGTATTGCTAGAAACAAATTTCAAAAAAATCGATCAGAAAATATTTGAATTGCTTCGAAAACTGTTAACAACAATGCAATGCGATTCATCCTGTATATTGCTCGGACAAAGGCAAACAAACTACATAAGATTTATATACGACGGAATGCAATACTAAATAAAGCTGCCAAAGATCTATGCAATCTCATAAAATGCAATTACCTCGGAAGGTTATGCCATCTTCTTGGGAAATCCATGTTTGTTTTATAAATCTACTAGATTCTTTTAACATGTTCCTCGGCAAAAGGGATTTGTCTTTTTTTTATATATTTCCTTACGCTTAAATGCATTTTTATTAAACTAGTTAAACTATTTCACTTATTTATTTATTTTAATTTCGTTTTAGCCATCGTCACTTTTGAATACACAATTATTGTAGACCCTGGCTAGTGGTTTCCGTTGGTAATTTGTGTGAATTCTTTGCAGTAACGGCCGACAAGGTCATGGCAGGTTATATTCAATATTCGCCTGACCTACTGGAGTGACAGCTCGCTTAGGTGTTAATTGTCCAGTTCTCGGAAAGCATAACAATCGGTTGACTGAGATTACGTTCGACCTGCAGCTGTATAATGCGCGTGGTAAGAAAGGTGAGCGAAAATAAAGTTCATCTCTCAAGAACCGGATATTCATTTACCTTCGGTTTCTCCGTTGCCCACCCAAACGTAAATATTTTAAAACAAACGAAACTCAAAAGTAAAAGCACTACTCGATTAAATTTCGTGGTAATTTCCATCACACCCTGCGGTAGAAAGTAAATTAAACGCTAAGCTGCGGATCGGGTTTCGCGTGCCAAAGGAAAATGTCGGTTAATCATTTAATAGGATCTTCGTCATCACGCTCAAGTTGCTTTTAGTCTTTACTCATGACCTTTGGACCCACACTGAGGAGACCCAACACTTCACTACCGTGATGCGAATGATATGTCATCGCTCACAAAAAAACTGGTTTACTATAGAATAAGCTTCCTTAATCATGGTCGACGAAGTCAGTTTCCATTGATTTTTTTGCTATAAAGGATAGGTGTGTCTAGGATCGAATTCATTCATTACTTACACAGGCCAACAAAGATTTTGTGATTTGGCATTTTTCATATTTTTGGAGGTAATAATAATAATAGATTTTTTTTTAGGCAAAAAAGGGTTTGTGAAACTCCCGGAACATGATCAAATATGAAAAGTTATGGGTATCATTCAGTGATGTTATAAATGGATTTCTAGGAAACAACAAATATCCAGATTAGAAATACGTTGCAAAAAACATATTAGACTTAACTATTGTTTGAGACTTTGTTATTTAATTTAGATTTTTTAAATCGTTTTCTGTTCTTCTATTAATA